CTCTGCTGCGTAAGTAGGAGCTCTAATGATCAAATTACCCTGATAAAAAGGCTCAACCTTTGAAAATATCTGCCAACTTTTATCAGTAAAGGACTCCGGGAGCTGTCGGGTGGACTTTTAAACCTCCCCTCCCTTTTAAAGCTACTTAAATCAACTTTGAACCACCTCCCTTGAAAAGCCCATAAAGCCGTGGGTTGGATAAAATAGCCCCATTTATTTCTGAGTACGAAGATGGTACTTACAAGACAATGTTGCAAAGAACTGGGGTCCTGCAACAAAATACTGCGGCTCCTGTTCAGAGCTCCAGCCACCTATACAGTTTCCCAGCATATTCCGTTCCTCCCATGGCAATAGAAGTTAATAGATGGAAAGATGACGCAGGCCTGGCAGAGGCAAGATGTGAAAACATGGCGTTGGGGAGATTTGAACCCAGGACTTGGCTACACTCTTGTGAGCACCTGCTTAAAACTTTTATGTTTGGGCAAACCTATCCAGACATGTAGATGCTGAGGTGTTTTAATCTTTTTCTTTTTACTGTTAAATTTAATTACAATGGTACCTCAGGTTACAGACGCTTCAGTTTACAGACTCCGCTAACCCAGAAATAGTACCTCGGGTTAAGAACTTTGCTTCAGGATGAGAACAAAAATCATGCTCCGGCGGCTCAGCGGCAGCAGGAGGCCCCATTAGCTAAAGTGGTGCTTCAGGTTAAGAACACTTTCAGGTTCAGAACGGACCTCTGGAATGAATTAAATACCGTCTTTTTTGCTCTATAAGACTTACTTTTTCCCTCCTAAAAAGTAAGGGGAAATGTGTGTGCGTCTTATGGAGCGAATGCAGGCTGCGCAGCTATCCCAGAAGCCAGAAGAGCAAGATGGTTTTATTTGTTTTTATTGATGGTTTTAGCATTTCTCGTAAACCGCTTGGAGGTTTTCCTACAATCAAGTGGTATATGCATTTTGTTAAATAAACCACAGAGGCTCTAATTTACTATTGCTTTGTTCTGCCTAGCGCACTGGCTTTTAAAACAAGTCGTTAATTCAAAGTACTTGGAATTTTGCACAAAGAAGAGGAAGCAGAAGGGAATCCAGATCAGGAAGCATAGTGAAGGCATTTCAAACATGGTCTCTGCTCCACCATGAGGGCTAGCTGCTTGATATTTTAAAGATGCAGGGGAATCAGATTCTCTGGCTATGATTGTAACTTGTAGGATGTGGAATATACACATAGCCACGTACAGTTGGGACGCGGGTGGCGCTGCGGGTTAAACCACAGAGCCTAGGACTTGCCGATCAGGAGGTCGGTGGTTTGAATCCCTGTGACGGGGTGAGCTCCCGTTGCTCGGTCCCTGCTCCTGCCAACCTAGCAGCTCGAAAGCACATCAAAGTGCAAGTAGATAAATAGGTACCACTCTGGCGGGAAGGTAAATGGTGTTTCCGTGCGCTGCTCTGGTTCGCCAGAAGTGGCTTAGTCATGCTGGCCACAGGACCCGGAAGCTGTACGCCGGCTCCCTCGGCCAATAAAGAGAGATGAGCACTGCAACCCCAGAGTCAGTCACGACTGGACCTGATGGTCAGGGGTCCCTTTACCTTTACCTTTAATGTACAGTTGAACAACACCATATTGGCGAGAGCTCATTCTCTGCATTGTTATGTTTTAAGAGAAGTCACATGCCCTAAGTGTCATTTTTGAGAAATGGTAAGCAACATTAATCGGGTGCATGTAGCCGTTATTGTCATCGATCAATACATGCAACATGATTTACAATGTAATAGGAGGGCTGTGAGCTAAAAGCAAAATGAAAAAAAAACCAAGATAAATCAGATTCCACATCAGTATTCTCTTTGAAAACTCAAAGACAATCTGCAAATATCTGCTCATTTTGCACAATTAATAATGATTTTTATTAGTTTTCAATTACAACCCAATAATAGCCTCATTATGACAATACCAATTTATAATACAATTATTAATACCAATCATTCAAATACCAGGTAAAATGTTAATTTTCCTTCTGCCAGTAAACAAGTGGTTGGGGCGACGAAGAACCCTTGGTATCCTGATCATCCCTAGTTCTGGATTCTGAGACTGGAAGCTTGCAATTATTACTATTTTAAGGAAGCTGGAAATCTCAAAATGCTGAGTTCTGCATCCACCTACCAAATTAGCTTGCTCAGCACTTGGGCGCAATTCATTGAGCCATGAAATGACAGGAGATCGATGCTCCATCCTTTAGGTCATAAATGGCAGAGGGCTGAAACCCGAACCACAACCTTTCAGGAGCCTCAGAGTCCCACATTGAATCTACCTTGTGGGACCTGTACACTCTTCTTCTTCTTCTTTTTTTAAGTTTTTATTTATACTTTTCAAGTTTATACATTCCATTCGTTTACAATCAATTCAACATTTCAAAGTTTGACTTCCTTCCCCCCCTTTCTGCAGTTCCTTAAATTTACTTATTTCTTTAATCTTCTGCATATCCAGATTCATTTAATTTGCTCATTTCATTATCTACTTTAAATATATACTCTTAGGAAACTGCAGGTTATTACAGTAATCCTGCTCATGTTTTTATCTGTTTGCAATTTATCTGTAAATATTCAATAAACCATTTCCATTCTTTTATTTAAAAAAGTTTGTTATCTTGAGTCCTTATTTTTTCCTTTGTCCTTAAGTTTTTCCTTTGTCCTTAAGTTTTGCCATTTCTACATATTCCATCACTTCTTGTATCAGTTCTTCCTTTACTGGGACTTCTGCTTCTTTCCACTTCTAGGCAAGTAACGTAAATTAATTTCTATACAATTTAGGTAGTTCTGTCTCCATAATTCCCAAAATAAATGCTTCTGGGTTTGTTTGTTTTTACAAAAGTTATTTTGAACATCCTTTTCAGTGCATTGTATATCATTTCCCAGTAAGCTTTAACCTTACTAGCGCAGGGAACATAGAAGCTACCAGATAAACATGCCCAAATTCTAAGACATGAGAGAGGAACCTTTTTTGGCTCTGCAGAATATATCCTCATCTCCCACAGTTCCCTTCATTTCTCACTAGCGATGGAGGGCTCTCTCCATTTCTCATTTTCCCAGTCGTAAATTCAGTTCTCCCCATTTTGAAGCAATTTGGGGGGGCGGTTAAAAAATCCTCCTGAAAATTCATCGGCATTTTAGTGTGAATTTCTTCTGACACACACTTTTTCATATGCAGTTTTGACTACCATACACATTTTTAAAGCAACTTCCCCTAACAGAATATGTTTGTGCCTGTGTTCTCTTCACCAATATATTCATTTTTAGGCAAGCTTTCCCCTAATATATGCATTTTGGTGAACACTGTTTGGTTGGATAACTCCATAGCTAAATTCCGATGAGTTCAAATTTTGAGGGATAGCTCTGATCCATATTCTCATATTCTTTTCAGAAAGTGCAGATTCGATAGGTTCAGCTTCACATGAGACCTTGATCAAATTTCCCCACCATCCATGCACCTAACAGACACACCTTTGCAAGCTCTTATCTGTAATGCAATGCTCTTTCACATGCTACTTTTACTAAAATCATACGCATTTTTATGCACAATTTCCCGTAAAGTACATATGTTTGTGCGCCCCTTTTTGGTTACAGAACCGCACCGCAAAATTCATAGACGTACACGGTTAGAAGGATAGGACCCCTGACCATTAGGTCCAGTCGTGGACAACTCTGGGGTTGCGGCGCTCATCTCGCTTTATTGGCTGAGGGAGCTGGTGTACAGCTTCTGGGTCATGTGGCCAGCATAACTAAGCCGCTTTTGGCGAACCAGAGCAGTGCACGGAAATGCCGTTTACCGTCCCGCCGGAGCGGTACCTATTTATCTACTTGCACTTTGACGTGCTTTCGAACTGCTAGATTGACAGGAGCAGGGACCAAGCAATGGGAGCTCACCCTGTCGCGGGGATTCGAACCGCCGACCTTCTGATCAGCAAGTCCTAGGCTCAGTGGTTTAACCCACAGTGCCACCCACGTCCCAGAAATCCACGTTAGAAGGATACCTGCCCCCTTTTGTTTGCATTCGGTTCCAGGAAGGTAGAACCCCATGAAAATGCAAGCACAGCCAAATTCCCCTTACCAGGGGCATTTGCTAGCATAGCTGATCTTTGCAGCAGTTGGCAGGATTGCAGAGGTGGAAGAGAACAGCCCAGTTTTGAGTACTCAGGACTCCTCCCAGCTCCACGGCCCTGTTCTGGATTCCCTGTTCTTCTGCACTCAATGGCTGATTGTGTTGGATAGCGGTGGGGGCAGGAGATTTTTGCAGCTGCCCCAAGCTTAAGACAAAAGCCTTCTTTCCGAGGCAATTAACCCTCAGCTACCTGGCTGAACAGATGGTCGCAATCACAGCCAACTAGCCCAATGCTCAGCTTGATGTTCTGCCTCACAAATATTTAGTCCCAATGAAGTTTCACCATGGTGGGATCAATCGTCTTATCTGGGGCCATAGCTGAGGCGCACAGAGTCTGCTTTGGCATCTAGAGTGGCTGGGAAAATGCAGTCAAATGGACAGGGTCCTATTATTATTATTATTATTATTATTATTATTATTATTCCATGCAGAAGATCCCAAATTCAATCCCCAAAAACTGAGACTGAGGAGACATGATAGCTATCTTCCGGACTGTCACATGGAAAAGGGAACAAGCTTGTTTTCTTTTCTTTTTAAAATTTTATTTACAGTATTTGGTTTTTCAGATTGAAATTTTACAGTTACATATCCAACATACATTCAGCATCTTAAAAAGCAGAGACATCACCTTGCCAACAAAGGTCCGTATAGTTAAAGCTATGGTTTTCCCAGTAGTGATGTGTGGAAGTGAGAGCTGGACCATAAAGAAGGCTGATCGCTGAAGAATTGATGCGTTTGAATTCTGGTGCGGGAGGAGACTCTTGAGAGTCCCATGGACTGCAAGAAGATCAAACCTATCCATTCTGAAGGAAATCATCCCTGAGTGCTCACTGGAAGGACAGATCCTGAAGATGAGGCTCCAAGACTTTGGCCACCTCATGAGAAGAGAAGACTCCCTGGAAAAGACCCTGATGTTGGGAAAGATGGAGGGCACAAGGAGAAGGGGATGACAGAGGACGAGATGGCTGGACAGTGTTCTCGAAGCTACAAACATGAGTCTGACCAAACTGCGGGAGGCAGTGGAAGACAGGAGTGCCTGGCGTGCTCTGGTCCAGGGGGTCATGAAGAGTCGGACACGATTAAACGACTAAACAACAAAACAACAACAACATCCAACGTACAATGTAAAAAGCAAGATTCCGAGAAATCTCTTGGACTTCCCTCCTCCCCTTTGTGGGCCCTTTTCTTAATCATTTCCTCCTGCATCTTTTATAATAATCCAAATCTTTTACCTCTCCATTGTGTCCAAAATACACCATTAAACTACAAGTGACATTCCAAGCCTACTAACAATTTTAACTGTTTACAATGGTCTTTAAGATAAGTTATAAAAATTTCCCCATTCCTTATTAAAATTTTGGTCTTCCTGATTTCTGATTCTTCCGGTCATTTTAAGCCATTTCGGCATAATCCAACAACTTGATCTGCCATTCTTCTCTGGTAGGGAATTGTTTTCTCCTGTTCTGAAGGGTAGGACTCGAACCAATGGCTTCAAGTTGCAAGAAAGGAGATTCCGACTAAACATATGAAAAAACTCTCTGGCAGTAAGAGCTGTTCGACAGTGGAACAGTCTCCCTTGGGGACTCTCCTTCCTTTTGTGGTTTTTAAGCAGAGGTTGGATGGTCATTTGTCATGGATGCTTTAGTTAAGATTCCTGCATTGCAGGGGGTTGGACTAGATGACCCTTGGGGTCCCTTCCAACTCTACAGTTCAATGATTCTATCCCCAGGTAGAATTTGAAGCCCTGGAGAGATGCTGCCAGTCATGGAGACGTCACTGAGCTGAATGGATCAATGGTCCAACTTCCTTTTAAGTGGGACGTTCTCGGGTTTTCTACTTAGGAGGACCCTGAAATTTCCTTTCGGGGCTTGCCCTTCAGTTTCAAAATTCTTTTTAAACCAAGAAATCCATTTCCCCCTTCTTTAACCTCTTAAGCAACGTTGCTTCCAGGTTGCCACATTCGAGGCTGGTCCTGCCATGTATCTATCATTTGAGCAGCATCACGTTGATATCTTTTGACAGAATCGAGAAAGAATTGCCATTATTCCCCTCCCCATTTTATACACACACACACACACACAAATATGCACATATACACACAAACATATATATGCAAATATAACCAAAAGAAATTTCAGCTCAGATTAACAACAAGAATATGAGTCCTGATTCAAACATACACCTTCATATAAGCAGTACATCTTTCCCAACAGATATCAAAACAGGATCAATGGTTAGAAGATATCCCACAGCCACAAAAGAAAGTTTGCTCCCCTGAAATTGACCGTTGTTTTTCTCCCCTCTTTTTGCTTCTGGTGGCCCAAATTTTGAATCACAACTTAGATAAATCCAATTCTCGGTTTAGTCACGCACACATTAGGCACACGCATTCTGAAAGCCAGGAATATAACTGATCGATCAATCCGAGATGTGAATTTTATGTCTGTTGGTTAAGGGCCTCCTTCTCTCTTTTTTTCTGTTGTTCTTGGCTTTATATAGCATTTTGTTTTGTTTTGTTTTTTAAGATAAAATCAATGAGAGGTTTGTCATTCACAGGATGTGGATTGCACCTTTGGAGACGGACAAATAGCAGTGATCATGGGTGTAAGCCAGGATTTTTGTTGAGGGGGGCAGAACCGACATGATTGGTCAGTTAGTTTAGTATTTCTATTGTTTTACTTCAGGCATAGGCAAACTCTGGCCCTCCAGATCTTTGGGACTACAATTCCCATCATCCCTAGCTAACAGGACCAGTGGTCAGGGATGATGGGAATTGTAGTCCCAAAACATCTGGAGGGCCAGAGTTTACCTACGCCTGTTTTACTTGATCTGGGGGGGCAGCTGCCCTTTCCTGCCCCCCACCTTGGCTACCTTTCGAAATCTGCACTGGTCAAAATGAGACTTGAAGTCGTGGGGCGCTCCAGACCCAAGCCAAATTCAAGGGGTCCACGCTGACATCTCCTTCCCTGCTCACAGTTAAACTGGCTGGGAAATCAGAGCATCTCTCCTTTTTAAGACAACCCTGAAAAGGGGGGAGGGAGAGAATATTTTGGCAACTTGGCAAGTCAAGACAGGCTGCTTTTGGCTCTCTTGTGCATCACAGAAATTCGGGGAGCCTGCCTGAGCTCTGCAGGGCTGGATCTTTGCAAATGAGGACATTCACTGGTTTGGCACAAAGTTTCCCATCCCTAATGTGATTGCCTTGAAAGAGGCTCCTGGCTGACGCAGCCTGAGCCGATATTAAATGCAGCGTTGGCAGCGAGGTTCCTGCATCTCCTTGAAGAGTGACTCAGGTACAAGACAGGGGGGGAACGTCTGGCCCGGAGGACACAATAATCGTGCCCAGAATTTATGTGTTTCACCTTCCTGCCCTCTTATGCCTGGAGCACACCCCTGCCTGCAATAAAAAGAGAGTTACCTGCATGATCTCAACTCTCCTTTTCTGCTCTTGCTTATATGTGCCTGTACCTCAATGGTAGATCAGTTGTTTTGCATGCAGAACATCCCATCTCTTCAGTGGAGACAATACTACACTATATGAACCAATGGTCTGACTCAGTGCAAGGCCACTTCCCATGTCCTCAAAACCCACCAGTGGCAGACCTTGGCGTCTCAAATTTCAGTGGCACCCTGCACAAAGCCAAAATACGGTGTCCCCTCAGCCCTGCATCTCGCCTTCCGTTGTACGGCAGTGTTGCAACGCCTGCTATAGCACTCAGTGGCATAGCGAGGGTTGCCAGTACCCGGGGCGGGTGGGAACAAGGGAAACGGATGGAGTACGCATGCACATTCAACCACCTCGTGACGTCCACAGAGATAAGAAAAGAAGAGCCATTCCGTTTTCTGGAGAGGTAGTTTCCTGGTTTGCATGGAGAAGCCATTTTCAAGAGCCCAGCAACGGAAGCACACAGCTGTATCAAAGTAGCACCGGGTGTTATAATTTCGCGCCTCAGAACAATTTTGCACCAGGGGAAACTGCCCCTGCAGCAGCACCCCCCAAATGGTAAGCTACTGGCGGCTCTATGCCTGGCACGACCAAACCGGTCACACACCCCTTTGTTGTTGTTGTTTAGTCGTTTAGTCGTGTCCGACTCTTCGTGACCCGATGGACCAGAGCACGCCAGGCACTCCTGTCTTCCACTGCTTCCCGCAGTTTGGTCAAACTCATGCTGGTAGCTTCGAGAACACTGTCCCACCATCTCGTCCTCCGTCGTCCCCTTCTCCTTGTGCCCTCCATCTTTCCAGGGAGTCTTCTCTTCTCATGAGGTGGCCAAAGTATTGGAGCCTCAGCTTCAGGATCTGTCCTTCCAGTGAGCACTCAGGGCTGATTTCCTTCAGAATGGATAGGTTTGATCTTCTTGCAGTCCATGGGACTCTCAAGAGTCTCCTCCAGCACCATAATTCAGAAGCATCAATTCTTCGGCAATCAGCCTTCTTTATGGTCCAGCTCTCACTTCCATACATCACTACTGGGAAAAGCATAGCTTTCACTATACGGACCTTTGTTGGCAAGGTGATGTCTCTGCTTTTTAAGATGCTGTCTAGGTTTGTCACTGCTTTTCTCCCAAGAAGCAGGGGTCTTACACTCACCTTTTCCAGAGAGTCATTCTACAGCCTTCTAAATGTGTTTGTGGGAGGGGGTTGTTCTTTTAACTGTTTCCTTGTGTTTTTACCTGGTATTTTCATCCTGTGAACTGCCCCAAGTTCTTGCGGTGAAGGGCAGTATATAAATCGAATAAATAAAAATAACAGCATTCTGCGGCACACATTGGGTGGTGTGGGGTCAGGTTTCCTTCCCCATTACTGAGATTTTTTTTCATCTCCTGGAAACTTCCGGGGCTTCTGCATATCTCAGGGTCTCCCTGAGTCTGTGTACATTTCCCTCTTACCTATCTGTGGGGCTGGCTTGTGTACCCAAAAGAGAATGGCACTCAGAACTAAACTCTGCAATTGGGGGGCGGGAGGAGAGTGAGCTATTTTCTACCCACCTTGCAATTTACAAAGCAACACACCAACCCAAATGGAGATGGTTTTTGAAATGCACCCTTCTCCAATTTTGGCAATGCATGCATATATGTATAATGTGTGCAAAAATTAGTGCATTAAGGGCATGTTCATAAAAATGCACATCTTAGTGAAAATGTATAAAGTGCATTTCCTTGCAATAATGGGGGGCACGGATTGCAATTCAAAAATATTTGGAGAAATTTGTGCTGAAAGGCTAACAAATTTTCGTGAAGACTTTCTTATTTTGAAAAAAAAAATCACAAAGTGATGCAGAAATGAGGAGAACTCGGCGCAAGCCTGGATTATTGGAAATTTGCAACAACAACGAAAATATGCTGGTGAATTTCCATGGGGCCTTCAGATAAACAAACTGCAGGCTGATGCACAAATATGGAGATGTGAAGACTAGAAAATGAGAACTAGAGAGGAAAAAAGGGACAACTTTGTCCATCCCTACTCTGCCTAAATTGAGGCCGGGGCCATTGGCCCATCACTAGTCACAAGTTAGTAAATACACATAGCTATGAATATATAGTGGGACGCGGGTGGCGCTGTGTGTTAAACCACAGAGCCTAGGACTTGCCGATCCGAAGGTTGGCGGTTCGTATCCCTGCAACAGAGTGAGCTCCCTGCTCCTGCCAACCTAGCAGTTCGAAAGCCCATCAAAGTGCAAGTAGATAAATAGGTACTGCTCCGATGGGAAGGTAAACACCGTTTCCGTGCGCTGCTCTGGTTCGCCAGAAGCGGCTTAATCATGCTGGCCACATGACCCGGAAGCTGTATGCCGGCTCCCTCGGCCAATAAAGCGAGATGAGCACCGCAACCCCAGAGTTGGTCACGACTGGACCTAACGGTCAGGGGTCCGTTTACCTTTATGAATATATAAATAAAGACCTTTCTGTATCTGTTATGGCAGCAATGCAAAAACATCAGAATTTATGTGATGCCTGGTGGTGGTGGCTGTAAAGAAATGTGCTCACTTGCATCAAATCCCTAGCCTTACACACACAAGCAAACGCACACACCTTCTTGTGAAAATGCGATTCAGTTCTGTGCTTGTGG